TAACTACAAAAATATTTGGAAAAGAAATCACTTTCAAATTTACTACTCCTCTATCTTTTAAAGATGTTGATACTTTAAAAGATGCTTCCATATCAAAAATTATTAACAATATTAATTTCAAGAAAAATCATATTCAATTTCTCAAAGAAGAAATTAGATTTCAAAAAATTGGGGAAAGATTATTAGAACCTTCAATTATTCAAAAACTTGCTGATTTTCAAAACCGCATTAATAAAGAAATATGTTCTACCATTCCAAATGCATTTTGGGATAGAAAGAAACATGTCGTTTCTCTTCCTTGTACTTCAAATTTTCAAGAATCCAATATTCCTACAAAATCTAGTCTTATTCAAATGAACAAAGATCTTCTTGATCATTGTATGAAAGAAATACAAGATCTTCTTGATAAAAAGCTTATCAGACCAAGTAAATCACCTTAGAGCTGTTCTACTTTTTATGTCAATAATTCTGTTGAAATTGAGCAAGGAGTTCCTCGTTTAGTTATCAACTATAAACCTGTCAATTCTGCTCTCCAATGTATTAGATATCATTTACCTCAAAAGAAAGATCTATTAAATAGACTATTCAAGGTTGTTATCTTCTCAAAATTTGATATGAAATTAGAATTTTGGCATATTCAAATTAAAGAATAAGACATATACAAAACTGCTTTCAATATTCATTTTGGTCAATACGAATGGAAGGTCATGCCATTTGATCTAAAAAATGCTCCTTCGGAATTTCAAAAAATTATGAATGATATTTTTAATCATTTTCAAAATTTTATCATTGTTTACATTGATGATGTTTTAATTTTTTTTTTAAAGTTTAGAGCAGCATTTGAAACATTTGCATACATTCGTTCATGTAGTAAAACAAAATGATCGTATTGTTTCAGCTAAGAAAGTTGTTTTATGTCAAACTAAGATAAGGTTCTTTGGACATACCATTCATTTAGGAACACTTACACCAATTCAAAGAAGTTTAGAATTTATTGATAAATTTTCAGATGAAATCCTAGACAAAAATAACCTTCAAAGATTCCTTGATTGTGTCAATTATGTGAGAGACTTTATCAAAGAGATAAGGATCATATGTACACTTCTATTAAAATGGTTACAAAAACACCCGGACCCATGAAGTCACGAGTGTACTATAGTAGTTCAAAATGTCAAAAAAGCTATCAAAAGCATCTCATGCCTTTTAATCATTAGCCCCAATGCCTCCATTATTGTTGAGACTGATGCGTCTGATATTGGGTATGGGGGTGTTCTCAAACATGTCTCTTTAAATTCTAGTCAAGAACAACTTGTCAGGTATCATTCAGGAGTTTGGACAAGTTTTCGAAAGAATTACTCCACTATCAAAAAGGAGATTATGACTATCGTTTTTGTCATTTCAAAATGACTTAATTAATAAAAAAAATTATTCTCAAAACTAATTGCAAAGCTTCAAAAGATGACTTGAAAAAAGACGTAAAAAACCTTGTTTCAAAACAAATTTTTGTAAGAGCATTAAAACATGTCCATTTTTTCAAGTAACTGAAGAATTTGATACTCAAAAAATCCATCGATATTCCTTTCAACGAAAGAATTTCCATCATAAGCAAAGGATTTTTGACTTCTTCATCGAAGAGCAAATCTAGAGGAGTAGGACGAGGATAATATGTTGGAAGATTTGAACTTTGAAATTTCTGTCCTTTTTATTTTTCCATTTATAAAGCCATCATTGCCCATTTGAAGACTCTGTAGGCTGTAACGTCGAATTAAATACCCAACCATGCTTGATGTACACTCAAAAGTGTACATCAAGTATGACACCCTCTCACAATAGAGGGGGGCCCGCTTTCAAAAAGAAGTGGGTCCCCTCTCTATTGTGAGGGGAATGTAACTTGGTGTACAAGGGGCCTAATTCTTAAATGAATTAAGCTGTTTGTACCTAGTTTGTTGACAAAGTTTGTATACAAAGAAACGTGTACGGCTGAGATGAAACTTCATTGGACGGTTGGGATTTTAATTTAGCTGGAGCTGATGGCGCCAAAAAGGGAAAGGGAAATTTTGTGGAATAGAATCAAATCTGTAGAATCCCCATTTTATCTTTCCCATTTCCCCCAACCTCCCTCCTCGTCCAACACCCATTTCCAGAACCGGGCATCATTTCTTCATCGATTTGGTGGGAGTGGCAACAACAGGAGGTGCATCTAGCTGCAAATCACAAAGTCAGAGGAATTACGCCAGACATGATCTATTACTTGCATGAGCAGAAGGTTGAGTTGAATAAAGTCAAACAGAGTTTTTCAACCGGGATTCCACACCGGATTCTCCATTGCCCCATCTTCTCCATCTCCCCATCTGGGTCATTACAAAACACGGTATGAAAACAACTTTCTTGTAAGTTCAACTCACAGTAAATAGGAGATGTATCTTAAAGTACCCCGATTCCTACCTTTTAGTGGATTGCTGTTATCATTTTCAGTGTGATGATGCCTTTTATATAGTCCTATCACCTATGAGAAGCTAAATCATTTCCTACCTTCTCAGTTGTGGTTGTTACTCGAGACCCGATTTTGATTTTCTGTTGCTCTATGCAGTTCAGGGATGAAATGTCCACACAACATTCACCACTTTATGAAGAGTCAGATGACTGAAGCTACTGTTATGTGTAAAGTATAAATGCCATTTAATGTTGAAATGTACCAAACTGAATTCCTAGTTTCACATCTCCAGTGCAAAATCGTGTTTTGAACGGAGGGCAAGGCAGCATCAAGGATCCAGCAAGAGTATTATTAATATGAAACTGTAACATGAAATTGTAATATGAACTAAGAATTAGTTTGTTGACATTGTTAAAGGATCCAGCATCAGGGGACTTTTTGGAATGAAGTTTTATGGAATGAAATTTTAACACTTATGCTCCGTTGCCTACAAATGTTTGATGTTCATATTATACTTCCAAAACATAGCTACAACATCATTCACTGAACTGCTCATATTATAATGTCACGAACGTCCAAGGTACATGAAGTAAAAAAATTTACTTCGACCAAAATGTACCAGTTAACTAATCGATGAAATTCATAATTACAACATGACTACACAGTGAACTACTAATCAAGGCGTGTCTATTCCTTTTAGTTCCCTTCGATGGGTAATTTTTCTCAGCAGACCATCACATTCACAGTCACAGAGATCAAGAGCTCCTCTTTGTTATTTAGCCGAACAGGCGATTGGAACATTCGCGTCTGTGACAAACTCCGGAGTTCTTTCCCGGCGTTCTGTGTTCTTGAATAACCCAATTCACATACTCAGTGTAGCTATTGTCAAACTGAAAACAGAGAAACTACAGCATCTATGTGACACGTTCAAGGAACAAAGCCATGGAAACATCATCATCTCGTTCACCATTCAATTCACAGAAATTAAATAATAAAATCAGCCCAAGCATGACTTTTCTCAGCAAAACACGCAGCAAATAATGTGAAATTGGTGTTCTGAAATCATAATAGAACAGATTGTAGAAAAAACATATTTTGAAATTCAATCACATATCCATTGGTGTGTGTACTGAAATCACATAAATCTCAACTTACTAACAGCAAATAACGTCACTTTGTCAATCAGCTATGCCATCAATCGACGAATCACAGAAATGAAATACCAAAATTCAAAAAAAAAGGTACAATTTAACAGCAAATGACGAATCCACACAATCAGACCTACGAAGTTACCAGTAATAGAACGGTTCCGAGATGATGTCGATCGATTTTGTGGTGGAATGAGACCGTCTTTGATACGGTGTTCGATTTGAAAAAGGTGCAGAGTTGTGCCAAACCAAGATGCTGGAGTTGTACGGCTGCCGGAGGTTGGGATAACGCCGGAGGTACTGGAGTTCATCGACTACCGAAGGATTGTGATTTTGGGAGGAAGGGTTTCTTTCAATTGATTTGGGGGAAAATGACGGTGAAATGTGGAGACTGGAGAGAGAGAAGGGAGGTGGGTTTTCTAATTT